AAAAGTTGTAATAATTGTTGTAGTAGTATTATGCATATCATACTGCACCACAGTAATATATTTCTGATCATTTCTTTAAGCTAACCCAAACTTATATTTTGACGCGCTGCTATGAGGAACTTTTAAGTTTCTGTAGCCTATGTATGTAAGTGTTTCCCATACATTGATTTATTTGTGGCGCCCGCCACAATATCAAAACTGACCACCACAAATAGATTTCCCAAAAGGCTTCGACTTCGTTGAATAAACATGAGAACTGCACGTTTCAAAATTGAAACCCAGTGCGGGTGTTTTTATATCACTGTATTTCTGAAGGAAACCGACTATCTGATAAAGCAGCGTTTGTGAGCGGAGCGCTGCTTTGTGTACAGCGTTACGGGGAAACCTCGATCTCTACCTCTCCAATAGCGCCTCCTGTTGCCAGAGAATGAGTTTGCATATATATGCCTCCACAAGTCTGTGGGAAACACTGCGATAGTTTTACTCAAATGATCATGAAGTGACTCTCAGAGTTCTGGAGATGTTGTTCATGTATTATGTCCTCGTGTAGTGATACGACAGAAGCTGAAATCACCGCGAGTGTCGCACACTTTGTATGTGTAGAAAACAAAACCGCGCGTCTGTGCCATTTACATACACAGAGACATGCAGAACATGCAGGATTCATATTTAAATAGTATTTTTGCGGCTTAATATTTACAGATACTAGTCCATGATTGGTCTGACTCGTGACTCCCAACAAATCAGATGAGCGGGGGGCGGAGACTGCTTTAGGCCACAGAGTGGTGAGTTCTGACAGGCTGCATCAGAGCCAAAAAGCGTGTTTCAAAATTGTTATTTTATCGGCGAATCGGTTTTGAAAATGACTGAAACCGATAATGCTTAATATCGGCGCCGATAATCGGTCGACCCCTACTGTACAGCCCTAGTTTTAATATTAATGGCTGTTACATTAATACATAAACGGTGACAAACTATAGTTGATACAAAATTAATTTGACCTTTCTCATGAGGTTAACGCTTAGGTCTGTCCATCATTTAAGAACAATTAACTAATAAATTGCACTGGTTTCTTTAGTTAATCGCCCCTCAGTCTAAAATATGCAATTATAAATATATTTTCACTTTGAATGTGAAATCTGAAAACAACATTGAGACGATAGATTTTAATTATTTGTTTAATGACAGTTTTATTAAGTACTTTATAAAACAGATAGTTCCGGTCCTTGATTTTGATTGGTTGAGCCGCGTTCAAAGCTGTTCTAAATTACTCTACAAAGTAACATACACCTTTGTTTACGTTTGTCTGTTGCTCGGCAACCACTTTGTTACAACCACAACTGTTTCTGAGGAACTACATTGTTTGGTGGAAGAATACTGTTTTTATTAATATCATTACACTTTATTTGCTCCGTTTTATTTTGTGAAACCTTACTACGTATATGGAATAACCGTTTTATAAAAGCAATAAGCCCTGTGAAGCCATGGTTTACAGTGAATTTATAACAGCTAAGGGGGCTTCACGTCGTACCTAACAACGCCCCTTAGCTGTTATAAATTCACTGTAAACCACGGCTTCACAGGGCTTATTGCTTTAATGAATGAAAGCTAGCATCACTGATATGTGTGCACCTATTAATTAGATTTTTTCCCATTTTATGGGGATAAAATGAGTAATTATAGCTATTCAACATTACAGTATAATAGGAAGCCAAATCTATTTCATCATATATAATAATTACAGAACATTATAACAACTTCAAGTGAACTTAAAACAACATTCACATGAATCCTCTCTCAATACTAGTTAATTTTGCGCATTCCTTTAAAAAAAAAATACTAAAATTATTAATAAGTTGACTAATAGCTAATAACAAATAGTTAAAGGGATAGTTCACCCAAACCTGTGTGAATTTCTTTCTGCTGTTGAACACAAAACAAGATATTTTGAAAAATGTGTGTAACCAAACAGTTGATGGTCCCCATTGACTTCCATAGTAATTTTTTTTCCTTACTATGGAAGTCAATGGCTACCAGCAGGTGTTTGGTTACACACATTCTTCAGATTTAGGGCTGGGACAATAAATCAATGCATCGCGATTCGTGGATTGATTCAAAGATTTTCAGAATGAATCGTGATTCTCTCAACAATCCACATAAATGGATACTAAAATTATTAATAAGTTGACTAATAGCTAATAACAAATAGTTAAAGGGATAGTTCACCCAAACCTGTGTGAATTTCTTTCTGCTGTTGAACACAAAACAAGATATTTTGAAAAATGTGTGTAACCAAACAGTTGATGGTCCCCATTGACTTCCATAGTAATTTTTTTCCCTTACTATGGAAGTCAATGGCTACCAGCAGGTGTTTGGTTACACACATTCTTCAGATTTAGGGCTGGGACAATAAATCAATGCATCGCGATTCGTGGATTGATTCAAAGATTTTCAGAATGAATCGTGATTCTCTCAACAATCCACATAAATGGTCAAATGTACCTGCACCTCAGAATGCTTTTATGATGCAGAATTAATGTAAACACAGCCCACTGCAAATACCCTTGTAATTCGCTTCAACCTTTTCCTAAATTTACCCCCCCCCCCAAAAAAGCAGCGAACTATTTTTCTTTTGCTCTTCTTGATTAACATTATTTACATAAGAAATGCACGGATCTGTTATACTGATGTACATTTGATATTTTCTTTTGATATTTTCTACTGTTTACATTCACTTAAAACAACCGACTGTGCTTACAAGGATACTTGTCAAGACAGCCATTGATTGGTATTCACCTGCTGTCTGTTTGTGCACTTCAGGTGTGTGAGCGGTGCGCATAGAAACGCTTTATCACAGCGCGTCAGTACCGCACTGAGATGTCTTGGGCTTAAATGGCTTAAAATTACTTTAATGTTTAAACTGACAAGTCTTAAAACACGTGAGAATAAAAACCTTTCTCGAGGAAGCAGCACTGGCCTGATCGTTAAGATAGTTTTGGGGGCTAAGGTGACAGATAGGGGGGCTGAAACCCACCTAAAAAGGGTTTAGAACCGCCCCTGGTATAGCGTGCGTAATTATACTGAGACATAAATATATAACCAGTTTACCTGATTCAATGTGATGGCTGAGCCTGTTTCTGAGATAACAACATGCCAATCCGTGGTTGGATTTCCGACACGGCTAATTGTAAATCATTTTACACTGTCAATAAGCGTGACCAGGGTTGCCAGGTTTTCACAACAAAACCCGCCTAATTGCTACTCAAAACTACAAATGCGGCAAGTGTTAAAGTAGCCCAATTCCGTGGGAAAACTGCGGACTTGGCAACACTGAGCGTGACTGATACTCGAGCCAACTCTGCTCTAACTGTCGACTAGCAGTGGGAGTCAGATTGCCCCCTAGTGGATGGGTAAAGATTTGTTAACTCATATTCAGAAATTCTCAAGAGAACGTCTCTGATTTAACTGATGCTCGCGCCCCCTTTGACAGGTGCTGGCGTGCCCCACAGGTTGAAAACCCCTGCTTTAAAGCAACTGTATGCAGTTATTTTTTTGTATTTATTGTGACTTTGGAGCCCCCTACGGTTAAGTCAGTTGAATTCACTGTTGATGTCTATCTGTACATGTGCATTTGTTGCTGTCTGCCCTTTTATACTGCATTTCTTTTTCTCTGAATTTCTTCCTTTGTATTCTTTAGGTGACGAGTAACATGTCGGCTCCCTGGCTTCACAGTAACTCGCGGAAAAGAACGGTGAGTGCCTCCAATGTGCAGCTGCTCTTCTCTAGTGCATCAGAGATCACTTTACTGTCAGTTTTTGATGATGGCTTTAATAAAAGGTGTAGTGTGTATTAAGCTGCAGGACAGGACGCAGTTTAGCGACAGAGACCTGTACACGCTGAAGCGCTACTGGGATAAAGGCATGACCAGCCTGGGCTCTCTGTGCAAAGAGAAGATCTCAGCGGCAGCCAGTGAACTCAGTGTGGACACTGAAATCATCAAGGTCAGGAGTCTGGACAGTTTTCTTCACTTTTTTTATATCTAAACAAATACACTGCGTAATACAGTGGCACAAATATGATTGTTTTTGCTCTGATGTAACTAATATAACATTTTCCCCTCGTGAACATAGTTCAATTATTCATAATTCTAAAAAAGGAAGCATTTTCTTACAGTAACCTGATTCTCTAAGTAGTATTTGTTTCTCTGACCAATATGACATTCGATCATCATGCCGGTGGTATTTATCAAAACTACTGCTCATTACTTTACATGGCACGTTTCCTCTAGGGATAAAACCTCAGACTTTTGATGAAAATAATGTCACACTATTGAGAGAATAATTTCTGTATTTGTATTTAAGTATACTATTGATACAAAAATGTGACAAAATATAACAGCAGGAAGCAGCACGCAGGTAAAATTATGAGTCTCAGTGCTTTTCAGTCAGATTGTCTTTGTCTCTAACTTACTGTCTGCTTGCTGTTTTAGTTTTTTGTTGAATGTATTTCTTGTGGTTAGATCTAAGAGTCATTCTAAAATTTAGAGTACATTTAATTTCCATTGATGAAAATTTAATTTTTTTCATTAAGGGAAAACATATAATCTCACACAAATATTTTGTCCATCTTATGCAATTACCTTAATGTCCATTAAATTACTTTTTTTTTTAAAGTGTAGTTTTTGAAGTGAGTTGGACTTAAATTCAACATTATTATATTTATTTCTAAAATATAAATACTTTTTTTGAAATCAAGTTGAAATTGAACTTTAAGAAAATTTTCATGTGTCCAAGTCCATGCAAGTCCTGTCAACTAAAAATGGTTCATCATCATCACACCATGCGACCGGTATTATGTTATGTTATTTTTTGTAATGGACATTTTGAACATATACAGTAATTATTTAATTATAAGTCCTCTCATCCCCCCCCAATATTTTATCTGCAGTAAGCTATTGTCAAGGAGTATATCGACCTTCAGTTATGTTGGGTACATTGTTATGGTTCGCGATATTTTTATGATTTTAATTCAAATATACATTCAAATTTTAGGTTAACCTAAAAAAATCAACTGAATTTAATGAGTTACCCTGTAGAGCCGTCTCATGACCATACTGTGTGACTGTCCACTGATGAGGAGTTGTTTGCCACACATTGGCTTTCAGCATAATTTAACCTTCTATGTGTCAGAGGATACTAGGATGTGTGTGTGTGTGCATGAGCTAACAATTTATGCAGCAGTTAATAATGTGTCTTATTTCATTTTAAAACTAGAATGCTGCTTCTCACATCCTTTAAAGGGGTCATATGACGCTTTTTTTAAAGATCATTATTTTGTGTATTTGGTGTAACAGAATATGTTGACATGCTTTAATGTTCTATACGCAAATGGCTTCAAATCACCACATCGCATATGTCTATAAGCGAGCTGCACACTGCACAGTTGACACAGGAATTGTCACTTGCACAATCGAGGCAGTGTCACATCGTCACTAAAGTTTATAAATTGCATTAGGCCTACTTTTTAATTCTTGCCAGTGTTTAACCATTCAGCGCTCTCCTGGAGACTGAGCACATGTGCACACTCGCAGCGCACACACATAATGCCAGGTTCACATTAGTCCGTTTGCAGTGCATACGTGGTGCGTATTTTTTCCGCGCTCCTGTTAACAGATTAATAAAGCGTGCTCACTGCAGATGGTTGCGGTCCGGCAGTGCGTTCGGGAGCGGTGCGTCTGCAGCAGTGCAGAGATCGTTTCCGCACTGAGTCTATTGCTGCGCTGCAAGCGCTGAATTAAAATAACAGTAAAATAAAATTGTACTTGTTTGGAGTAAATATAAACATGGATTGACACGAAAATGTAGTAATTATATAAAATAAATGCATATTATTCAAGTCTACTGTGTTTCACAGTCAACACGTGGCCTTTTGGCTAGGTTTAAAGGGAAAGAGCACTTTTAGATCAACAAGGCAATAATAGATGGCACTCGTGGAGGTAGGAAAACAAAGTTCTTTATGAACTGCAGGATTGCATTTAATAAAGATTTCAATGCAAAAGGAAAGGCAGTAGAGATGACTATTTCTGTCAATGGTAAGTTTGTGATAACGTAAGAAAAGTAGTCTAAATGTTTTGCCACTTGCTTGAGCAACTTAATATATAAATCTAGAAGTAAATGCAAAAATTAAACAGCATTGAATAATGTGTTGCTTATATTTACTGTCGGAAAGATTGTATTACTGTACTGTGTAAAAAAAAAAAGAATTGCAATGCTGAAAAAGCATTTTCAGTGACAATGTTTGGATTTGAAATCAAACTAATGGATAAATGTTGTGTTTGTGGTAAACAGAGACACCTAAGAGGGGAATTCCCCCCATTTTCAAAAATGAAATTCAGGCCCTGAATAAATGCCTAAAAATCCTGATTGGAGTATCACTATAAATAGTTATAAATGATAAAAAAGAAGGCTTTAAAAGATTGGTATCGGTATCGGCAGATACTGCTTTCTGTGATCGGCCTCAAAAACCCTGATCGGAGCACCCCTAGTTGATTTATTGGTTCAAGCCATTTTAATGTGTAGTAATTGCCTTATTTTAAAGATGGAGCCAGTGATTTATATCTAAAGGAAAATGATGATGTGAACGATGAATCAGATGGTTCCACTTCTGCTAAACATGTGGTATGAGCCACATATTCATTAACTTTTACTGAGTTTAATGTTAACTCTGATCCAATCTTTGCCAGTAACTAAAACATGAAACTTTCTTCCAGAAGATTGAAATCGTCGAAGAAGAAGAAGAAGAAGATGATGATGATGATGATGACGATGATGATGACATTTTGACCACAGAGATGGAACAGATGCAAAACCTCTTAGAGTTCAAGGTAAGCAGAGATCCAAGAGCTGCATGAGATAATGAAGGACCCCACAAAGACCAGGACAAATGGATCTGGCCCCATATGCTTTTATTTTTTTTAACCATGTAAAGAAACACAGATCTCTGCTTCGTGTTCATCTTCCAGCAGCTTAAAGGGATATTCACCCAAATTGTCATTCAAAACCTGTATGCATTTCTTATGCAGAATACAAAAGAAGAATATAATATGGGTTCTGTGTGACATGAAGTTGTAAATTTCATTTTTGGGTAGACTGTCCCTTTAGTAGCCATCATATCTCCCCTTATGTCCTAGCAGACCATTATGCAGCACCACAGCACACAATAACAGTAGCTTTTCCGTGTTAGTCAGAGTTTCTCTGTTGAATTGTTCAGATCTGTTACTGAGCTAACATCTGGCTCCCTCACTGAACCGAGAGTCATTTTCCAGTTATGTTTGATTCGGAAATGAACCTGGGAACCGTTACTGTAATGTAATCCATACATTAGCCTGTTTACTGAAGTACTGAACCTGGGTTTTTGTCAAGTGTATAATTTTTTCATCTTTCTCTGTGTTTTACTTTACTGAAGGCAGGACTTGATGTTTTATTACTGTAAACAAGAACTATTGTTTGATGCAAAATAAATTTAAAAGGAAAGATTGATTGGGGAAAAAAAGCAAATGGCCTACTGGAGCCTCATCAATAGATCATGTATGCGCCAAATACCTCTGAAATAAACCATCCCTGGACCTGCCCGGAGCAGGTTATGTTCAGAGAGTACCTTGCTGTGTCTCCTTACTTACTCTGAAGGTTACCTGGAATTCAAAGCTTTTTTGATTTATCCGTTTACTCTGAGATTTCTGGAACATCCCCAGTACTTACCCTTAAAGCTACTGTATGTAGCTTGTGTATTTTTGTGACTTTGGAGCCCAGTACAGTTAAGTGAGTTGAATTCACTGTCATGAGGCAATGCACCCTTGTCTCAGAATTTTGAACTTTTCACCAAACTTACATACTCCCAGAGCGTGGGAACGAAACAAAAGCCATTTGCCTTATTCGACGTCAGTGTACCATCATAATGATTTTGAAACTGATATTTCAAAAACGTACATACAGTTTTTAAAATTGAAACTAAAAGTTGTTTACTCCTAGGGATGTAACGAATCACTCATTTCACGATGCGATACGATTCACGATTTTTTAACAAAATGAGATTCAAGACTAATTATAAATGAGGTGTCCTTTTATTGTTTCTCAGACAAAATGCTGCACATTTCGTTGTGAAATTGAAATATGTCAAATAACAAAACTGAATTTAAATTTTAAAACAAATCCCAAATCAATTAAATAATTAATACAAATAACATAAATCTCTTCTTAAAAACAAAGGCTTTGCCTGTGCTCTTTCCATTTCCATTTAATCGTGATCCAAACAAACACGCTGCATAGTGTCCTTTTATTGTTTCTCAGACAAAATGCTGCACATTTCGTTGTGAAATTGAAAATATGTCAAATAACAAAACTGAATTTAAATTTTAAAACAAATCCCAAATCAATTAAATAATTAATACAAATAACATAAATCTCTTCTTAAAAACAAAGGCTTTGCCTGTGCTCTTTCCATTTCCATTTAATCGTGATCCAAACAAACACGCTGCATACATGCAGAATGACCAGTTTTTAATTAAAATCAGATCGTATAACTTCGAAATTTGAAGCAAGCACAGAATGGTCTGACTTTAGCTTTGTGAAACTATACTGCATAAAACATCTGAACGAGACGAAAACAGCAGACGAGCTAAATGAAAAATCAGTTTCACTCTCTGCCAACAGGTGGCGCTGATGGAACAGCAGTAATACAGCGTTTCCTTGTTTACCGCTGTACACAAAGCAGTGCTACACTACTATAATATGCATTATTCAGAGACAAGATGAAAATAAAATATCATCTAAACTTTTCCGAAGACAGTCAGTTCCCCTTCAGAAACATTCATATAAACTCCCACCAACAACGGTATCGCGATTCGTTTAACATCTCAACCGATTTGAATCGTCACATATTTTTATCGATTTTCAACTGGCTTGGGGTGCATCGTTACATCCCTATTTACTCCGACAGCTAGATCCCAGTTGATGTGCACCATTCTCCATCAAATGCTAAGGGTTCGTATGTATGTCTGATACTGTAATAACATAGACTTACCATAATTAACTAGAAACATACATTTCAGAATAAGTCTGAATATGATCAAATATAACATATTTCAATTATTTATTTGAATATAGCAAAATATTTATATAATATTATACCTGATTTATTTCTCATTAAAACTGGTCAAATCTGAGAGTGAAATACTTGACATTCGAGCAGGGGTGCCCAAACTCGGTCCTGGAGGGCCGGTGTCCTGCAGAGTTTAGCTCCAACTTGCCTCAACACACCTGCCTTTTAAGTTTCTATGCCTAGTAAGACCTTGATTAGCTGCTTCAGGTGGTGTTTGATTAGGGTTGGAGCTAAACTCTGCAGGACACCGGCCCTCCAGGACCGAGTTTGGGCACCCCTGCATTAGAGAGATACATGATTTAAATGCCAAACACTGTGGGCTTATCAGATACAGAGTCATTCTGACTCTTTTGCAAGCTTTCATGAATG